TTCCATCACTCCCTTACCTAAAACCCTCACTCTGCAGTGGTTCAAAACTGTAGGCAGTCAACGGAATCATCTGTAAAAGCTACTGAAAGTCCAGGTGCCTGACCAAGCTTGTCCCTCTCCATCAGTCATGTGCAAAAAGCTTCCAGATGATTCTGACCTGCAAATGTGACATGAACCACCAAAGTCTTCCCTTGATTCCTTTCTCCCTCCCGTCCTCCAGGCAGAGTTTAATGCTTCCTCTTCCTGACCCCAGAGCACCTTGTACACATTTCTATTATCATGTAACATTTTAATACTTTCTATTACCTTCACTGGAGATACCAGAGGCCAGGGGCCCTGTCAACACAGAGCACTGCATACCCAGCCCCTAACACCCTGTCTGGAAGACACTATGGACTCCGGCACTTTGATGAATGGATGGATGGATGGATGAATACAGAACAATAAATCCTTGATGTTTCTGCTTCCTAAGGCAGATCTGTTTCTTCTGAAACTCTGATCCCTCTGCCAACTGAGCAAACAAAACAAGAAAAATGTAGACACCAGCAAATACAAAAGTCTAGGGTTTATCATTTACCAGACTCTGGGTTAATCAGCCAAGGTGACCTAAAAACCCAGTGGTCAATTCTTCCCTAGAGCAACTGAGGAGCTCAAGGGCCACTTGAATATTACAGTGCCAAGCACCTTCAGAAAGCAGGCCTGTCTTGTGACTCCCGCTGCACGTTGCATACATTATAAGGGTCACAGGCCAACACCTGCCTCTCGGACCAAACTATGATTCACACTATTGGTCCTGTGCAAACAACCTACGGTGACCTGCTGGAGCCACTCCAAACAGCAAACTTTACCACAAGAGTACCTCCCCAAGAAATGGATTTAGAAACAGACTTCAGGGGGTCCTGGGCACATTCCCCGGCACATGGAGAAGGAAACCTCTTGCTTCCCCAAATGCTCATTAGACAAACGTACTTCACCTCATTTCCAAGGATCTTTCCATAAAGCAAACACTGTGGCCCACTCATTCACAATAACACAGGCTGCAACAATGAGCTCAAACACAACAACAATTGTGAGGATGCCGAGGGGCCGGGCAGTCGTTCCTTCTTTTGCACACAGGGTCATTATGAGTTGGAGCCAACTGAACGGCACCTAACAACTATAAGGCCTGCCCAGAAAGGCTCTTGTACAATCCTTTCACACAGCCCCGAAAGGTCAGTCCTAACATCCCTGAGGAGGAAACTGAAGCTAAGATAGGTGAAACCAAACCCAACCAGTTGCCTTCAAGTCACCTTTGACTCGTGTGGCCCCGTGGGCTGCAGAGTAGAACTGTAACCACAGGTTTTCACAGCTGTGACCTTTGGGGAGCAGCACACCTATCTGCAGATGCACTGCTGGGTGGTTTCAAACTCCAGCTTTTCAGGTAACAAACGTTTAACTGTTTGTGGCCCCAGACACTCCTCAGACAAGTGAAGTAGCCTGCTATTCAGCAGCTGAGCATTGCTACCTCACAAACCAAAGTACTTCTCAGGCACCTTCGTATTAGTTTAAGAGAAGTGATTGTTGTTGTTGTGTGCCTGAGTTGGGAGCCAAGAGCCCAGAGTAACTTACAACTTTCCAGAACTCCCGCTGTCATGACTACAAAGGTGTTGATGGGATCTGCAGAGCCGTGGGAGCCATGCTGTGGCCACATAGCACCTACTGCGGACTCTGTGTGGGTGTCAAATATTTTTATTGATTGGCTGTTGTTGTTAAGTGCCAGTGAGCCAGTTCTGACTCATAGCAACCCAGTATAGGATTTCCAAGGGAGCGGCTAGTGGGTCTGAACCACCAACCTTGCAGTTAGCAGTCCAGTGTTTATCCTACAGCATCACACCAGGACTCAGTGAGGAGGATTTATTCTTTAAAAGATCAATTCACTACAATCTATCATCTAACAAAACTATCCCAAAAGAAGTTCTTTATGAATTAAAAAAGTGTATAGACAAGCTATCATGACTTCAAATATCTCCCTGAATATCCAACCCCCTCCGCCACCCCTAGTCCCACTGAACAGGGAAACATTTACTTTCCACAGCCCACAACTAGAAGACACTGGACTCATAAACCCCAAGTGTCATTTGATCTCACCATGACTGCCTGAGTAAGGCATGGACCCGCCCAAGAGGAGGGACCTTCAGGGTGTTTACACCCAACTCCCCAGTCAGACCAGTGCACCACAAGTTTGCTCTCAAAACCATTTCCTATTCCAACAGAATAAACCAGCAAGCCCCGCTCCACTCCACTTAGAGGAGAACTAAGGGATTACTTTTCCACATAGGAAATCAAGAGGAGGAAGTTACTATCTCTTCCTGCAAAAAGAATACAACGCCCCTGGTCTTCTTTCCAGGGAAATTAAAACCTAACAAAAGAAACTGGAGTTGGGGGCAGAAACTTCAGTGACACTGAGTATTTGGGTTGAGGTTTGTTGGTTTTTGTTTGGGGGGGGTTTGCTTTGTTTTGTTTTCATTTTGGGGGGAGTGGAGGGAGGATCCTCCAAGGAACACATCTGAGGGGGCTTCAAAAAGTTGGCAGAACAGTGGAATTAAAGCACAATGACATTTTTCTACAGATTTCTTAAAGTTACACTGAATGTTCTACAAACATTATCCCATTTAATCTTCATAATAACCCTGTTGTGAGTCATTTGTCAAATTGATTCAAACAGCAACCCCACGTGTGTCAGAGTAGAACCCCACATGTGTCAGAGTAGAACCCCACGTGTGTCAGAGTGGAACCCCACGTGTGTCAGAGTGGAACCCCACGTGTGTCAGAGTGGAACCCCCACGTGTGTCAGAGTGGAACCCCACGTGTGTCAGAGTGGAACCCCCA